TTTTGCTATTATGACTTAGCCACAATGCACTTTTTGCTATTATGACTTAGCTACAATGCACTTTTTGCTATTATGACTTAGCCACAATGCACTTTTTGCTATTATGACTTAGCTACAATGCACTTTTTGCTATTATGACTTAGCCACAATGCACTTTTTGCTATTACGACTTAGCTACAATGCTCTTTTTGCTATTATGACTTAGCTACAATGCTCTTTTTGCTATTATGATTTAGCCACAATGCTCTTTTTGCTATTATGATTTAGCCACAATGCTCTTTTTGCTATTATGACTTAGCTACAATGCTTTTTTGGTATTATGACTTAGCCATAATGCTCTTTTTGCTATTATGACTTAGCCACAATGCACTTTTTGCTATTACGACTTAGCCACAATGCTCTTTTTGCTATTATGACTTAGCCACAATGCACTTTTTGCTATTATGACTTAGCCACAATGCACTTTTTGCTATTATGACTTAGCTACAATGCACTTTTTGCTGTTATGACTTAGCTACAATCTTACTAAAGACAACTTACTGAATAAAATGATGTGTACATCACACTCTCCATGGCTTTACCAATGTCCACTTAACTTATGTAAAGCACTGTAAATTTATTGAATACTGAAGTTGTTCTTACTTAAGTAGTTAGTAATAAATAAAGTGTGAAAAACTCACCGAATCTCCAGCTTTCGGGTTTTCTGGTTTCACTCGAATTGTCACACCACCAGGAGGAACTACGAGACAAAATATTGTTTTCTTTAAGGCATTTCAAGAAGAATGATCAATTCAAATATAAGTCTAATTTTTTCGGTTTATTTACTGCCACTGAGTCTAATGATTACATCAATCAAATCATGTTAGCAGCCAATGAAATTGTTTAATTTGAAAGGGAGTGACGTTGGATTCCAACAATAAGCTTCAGTACTATATGATATCTTCTCGGTGTATTGTACTTTGTCGACAGAATTAAACGGTTGTTTTAATTTAGAACATTCTAGTATCAAACCCTTATGCTCATTAAGACTGATAATATTGAATAGTTAGAAATAGCTTCAAGATTTCCAACTGTTGTTTATCATATTTTAGGGAAAAAAACATAAAAGAAAAGTTTATTCTTTTTTTTTAATATTCTGTGAACATATTTTCTTAAATGTGCTGGACATCTTATGTGATTTTTGTTCATATATTTTTTTATACAATATATTTTGTTTAAGGCCAGAAATCCAGTGCTAACAAGATTTCGGAATCAAAACCACACCGTGTGGATGTAGCCCTTTAAAAAAAAATGACACTTACAGTGGACAGTCAATTTAGTAGTAGCATAAAGTGGCTTAGAAGTTGCAGCGTTCGTGGCCTCACAACGATACTCAGCGCCGTTATCGCTCTCTTCTGTTACTATGGAAACCTCTGCAGAGGAAACGTTGCCAGCGGTTGACGTGCTTGATTCAACCTGCAAGAAAAGTTAAAGGTTTACTATTACAACCGTAGAAGAAATATTGCCAGCTGTTGACGTGCTCGGTTCTACTTGTAAGGAAAGTTGCATGTTACTATGGAAACCTGTGCAGAAGAAACATTGCCAGCTGTTGACGTGGTTGATTCTACATGTGAGAAAAGTTGATTGTTACTATGGAAACCTGTGCAGAAGAAACTCCTGCACTGAGACCGAGATTGTAACTCCCATATGTACAAGAAGTTTTAAAGCATTACTTTAAAGCACAAATACCTCTGTTATCAATATGTGATTTCACCACCAGATGGCTCTACATATTAGCTTACATATATTAAATTTATAAATACACTAATAGGACATATGTAACTAAAACTAAATATAATCTCGTTTTTTTTCCATCAAAATGTGATACAGCCTGAAAATCTTCAAATCATGTAATTTCAATAATCAGAAATCAGTTAGGGCTAAAAATATAGAAACCATATATACATCTACCTTTAAAATAACAGCTATAATCTTAAAACTGAGGGAACGAAATTACTTTCTTATTCTTAGTCCTAAAAAACTGAAATAGTGTTCAGGTTCTGTATTTTTAAGACAAAAAATATACAATTGTTGAATGGTTGATAATCCATGCCTTAGATAATTAGAAAGTTTGGTACATTAGGTATATTTAAAAATAGTGAGGACAGAAGTTGTGTGGAAATCAAGAACTGTAAGTTCTACTTCAATCACTCAGAAGAAATGGGGAACAAACCTCTAACCTGGTTTCTCGGTATACATAAACTTAAATCCTGAAGATAAAATCAACAACCCTTGTTAAGTGTACACTAATGTAAGTGGAACATAAAAATAACAACCCCTGTTCAGTGTACACTAATGTAAGTGGAACACAAAGATAACAACCCCTGTTCAGTGTACACTAATGTAAGTGGAACATAAAAATAACAACCCCTGTTCAGTGTACACTAATGTAAGTGGAACATAAAGATAACAACCCTGTTCAGTGTACACTAATGTAAGTGGAACACAAAGATAACAACCCCTGTTCAGTGTATACTAATGTAAGTGAAACACAAAGACAACAACCCCTGTTCAGTGTACACTAATGTAGGTGGAACATAAAGATAACAACCCCTGTTCATTGTACACTAATGTAAGTGGAACATAAAGATAACAACCCCTGTTCAGTGTATACGAATGTAAGTGAAACACAAAGATAACAACCCCTGTTCATTGTACACTAATGTACACTTTATCTATTATGTGTCTTTCATTCTACGTAACATTTTAGTGGTTGATATTCGAGACACTAAACAACTATTACTGACGGAACGATAATATCAAAACTTATACAAACCTTCTGATCTTCTTTAAACCACGTCAAATCCGGAGGGGGGTTGCCTCCGTTTGACACACAAGATAGCCGAAGACGTTCTCCTGCACGGATCGAATTCCCTTCTGTGTACCCGAAGATGCTCGGAGGATCCGGAGGATCTAAAGATAAGAAGATTTCTTTATCAGGTGAAAAATGTCAAGTTAGAGCTCTACTTGCAAGAGTTAACTGTATACTTGAAAACAATATTAAGGTTTTCATCAGTTAAGGCAATAGGTTTTCATGAACTTTTTTATTGCTAACTTTTTAATTTAGACATTAAAACATGTCATGAAAAACTTCGGGTAGTTAAGAAATTAGCCAGTATTAAAAACTGTACTCACACAAAACACTCAGCACGTGCGACTCGACAACTGTATCTCCTAGAGCTTTGTTCACCGAGTAGCAGGAAAAGCGTTTGGAGTAGCGATCCTGTTCACAGGAAAGTTACATCAGATTACACTAACTCGCACCAGTTAAACGTCAAATAGAAGAAACTGACTTGCTTACGTCAGATAACACTAATTGACAACAGCGAAGTGTACAATAGAATAAACTGACTTGCTTATGTCACATAACACTAACTGACATCAACTAAGTATACAATATAAGAAACTGACTTGCTTACGTCAGATAACACTAATTGACAACAGCGAAGTCTACAATAGAAGAAACTGACGTGCTTACGTCAGATAACACTAATTGACATCAACTACGTGTACAATAGAAGAAACTGACTTGCTTACGTCAGATAACACTAATTGACACCAACTAAGTGTACAATAGAAGAAACTGACTTGCTTATGTCACATAACACTAATTGACACCAACTAAGTGTACAATAGAAGAAACTGACTTGCTTACGTCACATAACACTAATTGACAACAGCTAAGTGTACAATAGAAGAAACTGACTTGCTTACGTCAGATAACACTAATTCACATGACTAAGTGTACAATAGAAGAAACTGACTTGCTTACGTCAGATAACACTAATTCACATGACTAAGTGTAC